CACCAGAGAGGGGGAGAGGGCAAAGGTGTGATTCTAGGAGAAAGAAACACTGAAAGAATGTACAGCAAGTATTTAGGAAATGGTGAGAAGTAAGAGTAAGGTTGGGCTTTAACACTGGGCTTGTGGAAAAGGATGAACAAGAGGGAGGGGGAGAATGGTCCACTGGGACCAGTTGTAAAGCCTGGCCATAGCTCTGAGGGGTTGGGCTTTTTCCATAGTCTGTTGGATTTTTAAGTAGGGGAGAGACTTGGATTAAACGAAAATGGCCAGACCCCTGAGTATTTTTAGTGGGGGATGTTGGCTTTATTTCTCTGCCTTATGTTCTTGAGCTGTTTTGGAAGTTTTTGCAAATGTCCCGTTGGGTGGCATTTAGGTGGTGGTTTCTTTAAAGGACTTCGCTACACTTTAGTGAAGGGTTTTTTAAAAGGGAGCCCGTTTTTTGACATTCTGTTTTCTGTAACTGCTATTGAGGAGAGGTAAAGCAAAGCCGGGCTCTTATGGAACACTTGCAGCCCGAGACAAGCAGTTCTCTGTTTCGGTCACAGAGTTGTACAGTAAAGCCGTTCAGTCCTCAGAACCAGGACGATAACACGGTGCGCTTATTTAATAGTCTAATTGCTCTTCTGTTCTGTTCCGTCATTAAACGGTGTTAGAATTGAGAATTAGGACTCTCTTTCCTCGCCAAAAGAAAACACAAGTGGCTTGTTGACTGCAAGATTTACTCTCACAGATCCTTCCAGAGGAATATAAAATCCTGGCCGTGCCTCCACAGCAAGGAGGTGGCATATGCCCCGGCCTCGTCTCCTGAATGCAGGCTCCATGCCCAGAAGGACATCATAAATCATTTAAAATTTATGATGAGCCCAGTCGGGTGTTACACCCTGTTAGTTGGCTGCCATCTGTCCTCTGCACACTATAGCCTTCCTTCTTCAGAGCACAGAGACTTTTTCAGATGAGCCATAGGACAGAGAGCTCAGGATTTTCCCTTTGGCGGGCCCAGCCAAGAAGTAGAGGGGGCAGAAAACAGAAGACGCCTGTTCGTAGTCTTGCCACAGGCCTCGCTTGCTCTCTCCTAGGCTGGAGGTGGAGAAGGGGCAGAAAACAAGACCGTTAACATTATCAGCCTGTTTTCTCTTATTCGTTTATGCAGCAAATGCACATATTTTCTGAGTTCTAACAACCTGCAAGGCACTATTGGGAAAACGGCAGTAAACAAGAGTTTTGGTTCTCATCGAGACCATACTTAAAAAGTAGATGCCAGTTCAGGAGGGGATGCCGTATTTTGCAGGATAAGATGGATAAAGATGAGAAAAGGAACAAGCTATTCTACGTTGGGTGTGTGAGGAAGGGATTTCTAATAAGGTGACCTTTGAGCAGAGACTTGAAGGAAGTGATGGACTGAGCTGTGTGGGGGTCCGGGAAAAACCCATCCTGGTAAGGACAGAGGCCACCAGGCAGGGGCTTGCCGTGTGTGTCAGGTGACAAGCAGCAGGGCTGGAGGGGCTGGAGCAGAGAGAGCCAGGAGGGAGCCATCAGGGAAGGACCCCACAGTGGGGAGCATCGTGTGGGGGGCAGCCTCTGGGGGTCATTGTGGAGACCATGCCAAGGAGTAGAGATAGTATTCAAAGCCAGATGGACAGCCATTGGATGCTTTTGGGAAGATCGGTCCTTTTCAAATATTTGAAAAGCCAGAGTATAAGCATGAGAGCAGGAAAATGGGGACACAGGGCGTCCTTCCCTTCTTAGAAAAATGTATGCTGTTGTAATCACAAGGGACTGTCGGAACTTTAACTCCCCCAGTCCAGGGAGCAAAACAGAAATCATGGGTTTGCTTGATCTTCATGGAAAAACCACACATGCCTTTTTTGATTGGGATAAAAGTGAGCCCCCATGAGCTATTTACTCAACTGGGAACAATACTTCTCCTGGAGAGACCTGGCTACTGCATCCGGTGATCTATGCCCCTGCTAAGTCTCTTCCCCAGCAGTACTTGCGAGGGAGGCAGACCCCCAACATTATTGCTGTTGTTGCACTGATTAGTGTGAACTTCAGGGTCAAAGAGCAGCTGGTTGGGTCCTCGATATCAGATTCTAGGAGGCTTCAATAACCCGCTTTGCTCTCAGTGAACACAGAGCTAACTCACACTGTTTCCCCATCACAAATGACTTACTTTACTCTAGAGCTATAGGGACTGTGGGCTTGATTAACTGCCGAAGTCACAGGGAGTGTGGTTCTGACTCCTTATGAGGAATACTTTCCTAAGAATGAGGGTGACAGATATCTGGAGGAGGCCATCCTGCCTCTGAATGTTTTCAAGCAGGTGAGCACATCTCAGGAATGTTCCTGAAATGACTCTGGCTTTGTGCGGCCCTGTTGGACGAGAATGACCTCTCCAGTTCATTCCAGTGCAGAACACTTCCAAGCCTGTGAAAAAGTGTCCAGTGAATGTGCTCTGCAAACATACAGACACTATGTAAACATGAGGCAAATATTTTAAAAGATGAAGAGTGTGATACTTGTTCTTCTGGGAGAGTGGTGCTTGGAACTTGGTGCCCTAGCAACATACTTTCCATGCTCAGTCGCCTGCAGTTTGTTCTCATTGGCCCGCTACACAGTTATCTGCACTATGTGTTAAAAACCTGCTCAGCCAGAGACCAAACAAATCGCCAGGGCATTTTCCAATCAGGGCCCATTTATAAAAGGTAGAGCAAAGAACAAAGCTGTGGGGTTTGATTCCTGGCAGGAAGCCCAAGCTGCGTCCTCAGAGCTCCAGAATTTACAAGGAAGAAAGAGGAGGGATTTATTAACTGAGATTAAGTTAGACTTAAAGCGACAGCTTAAAACTAAAACTGAAGCATCCTCTGGGATCCATACTGGAAAGGCAGAAACAAAAACGAGATATGTTCTGGGCTCTCGGATGATTTTTTTTTAGTGCAAGAGTGAAAGCTTTTAAAGACGCCCAAAGCAGAGATTACAGAATGGCCTTGATTAATGATAGAGGATCACACACCATTGGAGCTGGGTGAGGTGTCCTTCAGCGACCATTGAATGCAGTGGTCAGGGTCCTTCTGAGCCACCTGCTCAGTGTTCACAGCGCCCCTACTGTGTCGTTAGGGGTGTTGTTTGGCTCCCTGTGCTGACAGGAGTTCTCTTCTCTTTGACAAAAGCTTGGACAAATTGAAGCTATCCTGAAATAACAGCTCTCTTTTTACCTAAAAGAACAGCTCCAGCTGGCCCCCCACACCCAGTTAACTTTGTCCATTGAAATCACCAGCGTTTAATGAGCTGTGGTTACTTGCTTCTGGAAGGAGGGTGGAGTGGGGCTGGGTGGCAATCTAAAGGAGGGGAAGGTTCTGTGTGTGTGTCCATTTGAACCAAGAAGGTGTTAATTATCATTCTTGTGACCATTTGTTCATCCACTCGTTCATTTATTCATTTTCTTGTTTGTTTCCATTCTGAGTCTGTCCACAAAATGTGTTTGGCAAAACTGAGAGCAAAGGGCACGTATGCTAGAAATTAAATACAAATGAAGTCAGGTCTCTAAGAAGGAGGAAACAGATTTCATCCATGAATTGTCATATGAAATCTGTGTTAATATCAAGTGTTACTCTGACCTCTGGCAACCAGGATAAAAGGGAAATACACAATTACTGGTTGTCAGAAAAGAAAAGAAATATTTCAATTTCTTCCAGAGAAACTAAGTGTTGGTACTCTGGGGCTCATGCCATTGCTGAAGACTTTCAGGGGCTTCATACAAAGCTCTCAGCCCAAGGTACACCCCTTTCTCCCCCTCTCTGTCTTCAGAGTCCTTCCTTCAGACCACCTGGAGCACCCTCAAAAAACATGTCCTTAGTGTTATTACGAGCCCTGTCTATATGTGTCAGGGCAGGACTTGGGGTAATGGATCTTGAAATGATGTTGTTCATGTGGCTCTAGGATTTGCAAATTCTGAGACCAGAAAGAGGAATTGTGGGGCGAATCAGAGTCCAGTCCTGCTGTGGCTGCCCAGTCTCCACCAATGTGCCTCTCCTTCTCCTTAAAGAGCCGTAGGCCCTTTCTGTGGCCTGGTTCTGCTGTGTCAAGGTGCTTTTTCGAACAGGTCATCTAGAGGGAAGAGAATTCTCCAGAACACACTTCGGACAGTGTTGGCTCAGAGGATTAGTAGATTAGGATTAGTAGATGATATTAATTTTACACACCATCTTGGCCCCTCGAAGTGGGGAGTCTAGTTAGACATGCACAGGGTTCAGGAAACCAATATTATATACACATAAGGTGGATACTGTCAAAGTCCCACCCTAAACTCCTGAGCTCCACTCTGAAGTTGTAGCAGGAATTTAAATTCTTCCAGAAGAGGGAAGAGGCATTGTTGAGATTCCCATCCCTTGAAGTGCCTTTGAAAGCATGAATTGACCCCATCCTCCTGACTTGGGATTTGTCAAGGGATATACCGGAACATGCTTGAGTATGGCAAGGGAAAGAGTTACAGAGATCTGATGTGTTGGACTTTTATGACAGATGGTGTGAGAGAGAAAACACTGGAAAAGTAGTGCCTTTTCTCTGGGATCCAGATGAGTTACCTGACTATCTACTGAACGTTTGTCTGTCTGTTTGGTTTTAATGTAAACATACGTATCCTTTGTATACATTGCATATTCATTGAAGCCTGTGTTTTAGAATGCCTAAAAAAAGGAATATTTTGAAGTGAGAAGTAGCCTTTGTGCTCTATAGCTGGTATGAAATAATGTGTCTGGTTTCTTGCGCAAACATCATCATTTGAAGAACGAGGTGCAGCAGCTGGGTTTCAGAGCACGGCTACAGTCCTTTGCCCTTGTCCTAATTATATTGACTCCAACCACGTATTTTGCTAGACAACGCAAAAAACTGGGCGTTGAGCCCTCAGGTGAACAGAATAAATATGCTCAATTCTACTTGGAATGTTTTTCATAATTATTTTAAGCAATGACTTGATTCTTACTTATGCTTATTCTTTTTAAAAGTATTAGAAAGGAAGATATCCACAAGACAAAGTAGAGAGGAGCTGATAAGAAGGGGCGTTCTTAAGGAGTTGCCTGATCAAGGTGAGGAAATTACTCATACATTTAAAGTAACTTGATCCTTTATTCTTTGGTCTTTCTTTCATTTTCTTTTAAAATTTAAGATGATCATGGTCTTTGGGAGATAAAGCAGTGAGTATGGCACTCTGAGAATCTTGCTTTAATTCAGAATACCTTTGTGGGCTGCAGAGAATCTAAGGTATTCTAGAAAAGAAATTCAGTGACCTTCACTGAATTCCGTCCTTCACTGTATGTTACTAACCCTTGAGCTCTACAGAGGTACTCAGCTGAAGATACAGATAAGATACAAATGTTTATATAACTCCTCATCTGTTCTTGAGCTTCAGTCTTTCTATACAAGTTAACTCAGTTGTTTGAGTAAATGCAATGTTGTTGCTTGGCTCCTGCCTTTTGGTTTCTTAAGCCTACCAGTAAAAGAAAAGGGAGAGAAAAGAAATAGTAAATGTGTCTTTTGTTCTTGATACTCTATAATACAATCAAATTTACAATCAATAAGGCACAAATGGACAAATTAAATTAATCCGCTTTATGCATTCTCTCAAGTTATTTTCCTAGTATTGTTCTCTTTTCATTTCTTTGAATCTAATTGTCTTTCACCTTTTCACTAACAATTATTATTTCTAAGTATTTTGTTTTCCCTGTCCCTAATCTTCTTCCCCTTTTTTCTCTATCCTAGCAAGAGGGAATCTTGCTCAAAAAGACTAGGCTTAAATAGAAACCAAGATAGACCCTCAGAAGAAGACACCAAGATTGGTTATTTCTCCAAATAAGTAACATCAAATAATTTTCATTGCTCCCCCTCCTCTTAAAACTATAGGAAATTTTTGTTGCAAAATTGTTGATTTACCTCATGCCTTCCCTTGCCCCACCCCCTGGACATTTACTGGGATAAAGTAGTATTATTGTACTTTTATGGGAACAAATAAAGTGCTATTAATTTGGAATTAAATCACAGAATTCTGGTAAATGTTCTTTGCAAAGAACATCTTTTGGAATTCACTATTTATAAATCCAAATGACACACTTTTTCCAACATCTGAATAATTCTAGAGTGGAGCTAGGAAATGCTTTACTATTTTACTGCTATTTCAAAGAATATAGGGAAATCTAAAGTGAATAATGCCACTTTCCTTGAGCCCTCAAGATTTAGGCATTTTATTTCAATCTCTGACCGATTACATTTTTCTCATTCTGTTTTACGAATGAACTTTATGTCTTCTTTAATTTTCTGTTACCATGAAGCTATTTATTTCCTATCTGGGACTTTTAAAGATAAAAAAAAAAAAAAGCACATCCCTAACTTTTTGTTCCTGGAAGGCGGGCTTGCAGTATCAAAATTAGTCTCCCCTCTAATCTCTCTGGAGGCAGGAGAGAAATTACAGATCCACTGAGCAATCACCTTTCTGAGCTATCACCTTCCTGGGCTGGGCCAGCACAATTGTTTGCTATCATTTATTTGGAAATTGTTTAAAGAAAGGAAAAATGTAAAAATTTATGATTGAAATTGCTAATGAGTATGAAAGATAGAGATTTAGAGACCCCTTTTTTACCTGATTAAAAATTATAGCTAGGAAAGAGTTTATTTTTTCTAAAAACAAGTGGCACTGGTCAACTTAAAGAAATGCTTAGTGTTGATTGGTTTTTGTTCTGCCTAATCTGTTAAACTATTTACTTGATGGGTTATAATTTCCGATACTTACTTCCCAGAATTCTGACTCTAGTTGACCTTTTGGTAACCTCCACAGACTGAACATTAAAAGTTTTTAAAACATAAAAGAACAAAACAATTTTTCACCTAAACATAATGTAATATTTAATGTTTGGGAAGTCCTAAATTACTGAATTTTACTTTCTGCCTTTTTCATGGTCCCTATATGGAACTATAGAAACGACCTAATCCTTGAAAGTTCCTGGTGATGCCTATTGTAAATAGAGTCTTTCCCCTTTTCAGCCAAAAGCTGGAGAAAATAGTTTTCTGTCATTTCTCTAGAAACAATTATCTTGAGAATTTCGGTCTGTTTTCAGCTCTAGCCAGAGACTGGAAGCTGCTGTGCTTGGTGACCACCTCTTGTCTTCTGCCACTGAAGATTCATCCTTTGCCTTGATCTTCCTGACCTTGCCTTAGCTCTTGACAGTTATTGTCAATTATGTCCTTTATTCAGGGAGCCAGATAGATTTTTCGATCCCTCCAGCTTCCCTGGGTTTGACCTCATCCCATCCCACCCCATACCCTCACTCCCAGCTTTTATTATTATTATTCCTTTTAGATGATCTTTTTTACACTAACCTCTAACTTCCATCTAAAAGTTCAACAATTGGTCTTCTCTCCTGAGAATTCCCAGGTCTAGTCCAAGGTCATTCCTTATTTTCTGGTTCTTTCCTTCCATCTTTTCCCTTAGCTTTAGCATGAGGGCATGGAGATGTTCCTGCCTGTCATGCAGCCTCCTTTCTCTCTCTTCTGCGGTGTACTAGTTTTAACCTTCTGATGAGTCACTCACCATTTGGTCACACACAACCTTCTCCTCATCTCTGTTTCTCTCTTAACTATATCCCAGATATACTCGTTTGGCCAGAAAGAGGGAAAGCCCCCAGACACTCTCCTGCTCCTTGTTTCACCACTGATGTCTCTGTGTGCTTTATCTCTTGTTCACTTGAAGCTTACAGCCTTTCCTGAGCTGTCTTTTTCCTCTGCACACAAGGGCTCCTATTACTTATGACATCAGCATCTTCCCCTACTCTCCTTTGCTGGCAGGTATGTGTGCATTTTACTTACATACATAAACTACATGCACCCCCACTGGCTGACACACACATTGTGACACACAGAAATGCTCACATACATACATACACTCACATACTTAATCACTAACAAAACACATGTCCACTGTCATTCAAATATGCTTCTAAATTCACTTTTATACACAGACACAGATATATGGACATGCACACATTGACATATTTATTCTTTCACCAAAATATGCTCAACTAATTCAGTCATATGAAAGGGCTCATACTGTTTTATGAATGAACTTTATGTCTTCTTTAATATTCTATTACCATGAAGCTATTTATTTCCTATCTGGGACTTTTAAAGATAAGAAAAAATTAACATCCCTAACTTTTTGTTCACGAAAGGCGGGCTTGCAGTATCAAAATTAGTCTCCCCTCTAATCTCTCTGGAGGCAGGCGAGAAATTACAGATCCACTGAGCAATCACCTTCCTGGGCCAGAAGGAAGGGCTCAACTTGTTTTAGCTCTACCATTATGCACAAAACTAGAAAACTTTTTCAGTGCACACACCAATTAATTATTAATAACTTCAGTTCTACTCTGTTTGATGTTTGAATTTGTATTTATCACACATCAGTCTCTTTTTCCTACCTTATTTTCATAGGCACTAGCTTTATTTCAGACCTCGAAGTAAGTATCTTTCCACATTGTTGACTCTATTATGTGAAAATCCAATTTCTTATTGCACCACAACTATTTAATTTTCTCTCTAGCTTTTTGTTCTAGATTTTAAAATCAATTATTTAACCTACTAAAGAATTTTAGCATAAGAAGGGTTAAAATATAATTAAGTTTTCGCTAACATGACTTCAGCATATTTTTGTTATCAATTAAAGGCCGAGTAGTCAAAGATAAATTTATATTTGGGTTGCCTAAAAATTGAGGGTTTTTTTTATATAAAGAAGTCGTTTTCTATTTTGTTTGGAATTTTCCATTCTTACATTAGTTTTTAATTTCCCTGTGTCTAATATCTGGACATTACACTGTGTCTCCCCTCCCTTGTTTTTAATAGCGAATTCCTTGGTATCTAATAATAAGAATTAAGAATCATTTGGTTTCCCTTTGGTTTGACCTATACTCTTTAAAAAGTATTACCTTAATTTTATTGAAATAGTTAAGATTTATTTGCAGTGGCATTGCCCTCAATTATCATCTATTTTACTTGTATACAGGAATCAGATTATAGGTACTTGGAAGTTATATGGCTCAGCAGTGATTGCTTTTTCATTTTGAGCATGACAAAATTCCATGATATGTATTTTTCTTATTAAAATGTCATGCCTGTTTTTATGGACAAGGCTAATGGATTTTATGTTGAGCCAAAGCAGTTCAATCATATTTAATGAAAATTTGAGAGATGATTTCTGTTTTACTTATAATGATTGCCAAAATAAGATTAATCAAAGACTGCATAAAAAGAGCTTTAATCATGCATTTCTTGAACTTTGCAAAGTCAAAACTTCAACTCATTTTTTTTTTTTTTTTACACTGGTAGCAAAGCCTCTTAAAATGTTCCAGATACGATCTAGGGTTAGTCTTTTCAAACATCACTGAATTAAGAGTTTATGCAAAAATCTCATTCACTTTAGAAACTTCTAGAAATTATGAAACTTCACAGATTAGATTTATTTCTGATTTAGATAACATATTAGAAATTTTATTTTCACTTGTGATTTTTTTAAAAGTTCCTCTGTAATTATTTTTTTTCACATTTTTTTCCCCTAGTGTTTTCAAATTATAATTAGGCCACATTAAAGGCTTTTGGTCTGTTATATTTAACAATTACCTGAGTGCATTTTAATATTTCCATCAATAAATAAGAAAATGAAAATAGAATTAGCCTCACTACCACCTTTCCCTGAGTACAGAGTGGTAGTTATATTCATATGTAAAGTTAACATTATCACAGATGCAATCATGTGAGACAGAGATGGTTGTAAATTTTCATATTCTCCCTCTAATCATTTGTATATGTAATTACATTTCATGCTATTTGTGTATTTATATTCACCTTATGTTTTCAGTGCTTGTTAAAAATGTTTATTCCATTTTTCAGATTTCTCCTTTTACCGTTCAGTTTGTGAATGACAAAGAGACTCCTAAGTACTGACTTCAACAAAGCCTAAGTACAGAAGAGAAGGGCTCTGTTGCCCAGGCATGTTGTGTAATTAGGATAATAATTCCCACTGTCGCGAAAGGGCAAGCAGATATCCCCTCCATTGCTGCTTTCCCCCAAGACTAAGGATTTTCTAGCTCTTTCTTTGGAATGAATTATTTAGTAAAACATGGTGAAATGATGCAGATGTATTTGGTTCCCAGGGTCTGAAAACACGAACCCAAACCCTACAGTCCTAGTAACTGGAAAACTGGGTTTTAAGAAAGCCATTAAGTTAGACATCTAGGTGTTTCTTTCCCCATTATAGATGGAGATGTAACAGTTAACTTTGAAAATTCAAACGGGCACATGATACCCATCGGAGAGGAATCTACCCAAGAGGAAAATGTAGTAAAATCTGAAGAAGGTAATGGCTCTGTAGCTGAAAAATCACCACCTCTGGAGGAAAAGGCAGAAGATAAGAAAGGTAAAATCAAGAGAATCTCCATATTCTTTTACTTCAATACAGCTCAATGTTGAGAATCAGGTCTTAGGCTCCAAATAGTGACTCTTAAGACCAGTTAGGGAGAAGGTTTGCAAATACAAAGAAGAGAGAAATTACAAGTGAAGAGAAATGGGATGGTTTTCTCAGGTAGATGCATACATTTTGTAAGCACGTCATTTAATTTTTTTACTTGGAAGCATTAATTAACAGTAATAAGCAGATCGCCTCTTCAATCATTAGAGCTATCTGGGAATATTATCCTTTCCTCAGGAACTTTCCCTCAGTATTTTCTCTTATTTTTAGAAAAAATGCCATCAGTCTGAATATCTTCTTCTGTTAGTTAGAAGTGACCTTTGTGAGCATGTCAGTGTGGAGGGATGGAGGGGTATCAAAACCAAGATGGCTCTTTCCGCCCAGCATCATCTCTCCAATAGTGGGAACTTGCCTGGTGGCATCCATACACCCAATATTGTAGGTTCTAGTCCAGGTTCTAGACATTTCTGAGAGAGACCCAGGAATAGTTCCCAGAGATGCTGGGGACTTTGGTTGACCACAGCCTCAGCTTCATGATTTGTCTGTGCAATTGGAAATTTCAAAATACGCCAGGGGCAATTATGCCCTTCCCTGAAGGCTTCTTAAAAGACCTTGGTTTCTAGAGTGAATATGCTATGGTCGATTAAGGTACCTGCAAAATCTGTGTCTATCAAGGACCCCTCAAAACATTTCACAAGTTCCTGGTCACTGACTGATTGATTGATTACCTCTCCCTAAGACTTCTATCATGTGCAGGAACTTCCAAGCCTTGTACTTATGCAAATCAGAACTGAAACCCCCACAAAGTAAGGATTTGTTGGGAGATTCTAGATGATTCCATGCAGCCTCGAAATGAATCCTCAGGAAGCAGACTATTTCCTGTTCTGTAATGTCTGCCTCTGAGTTGGATGGCAAAAATTTGTCAGACCTAGCTTAAGTTCTGTAGGCATTGTGAAAATTCTTAGAAACTAAGCAGACTTGTCTTCCTCTGTTCTTGACCCAAATCCTCTAAAGACAAAGAAAACAAAAGAGCACTTGACAGACATTGTAACTTAAAATCATCTTCTCTGGAAGTCCATAACCCCTTATTTGCATATAAATTAGCCTGTAAAAATTTCAGAAGCCTCTGTGAACAATCTGTTAGAAATTTATTATTTTGCTTTATTTATTCAGTATTAAGTATAGTATTCATGAGGCTTTACTTAGTCTTGTTCTATTGAAGGACTCTGGTTAAACTTACAAATACTGATTATAAGAAATTAGCTAATATTTTTAATGATCATATTCCTGGAACATAAAGAGAAAATAGACCTAAATAGATTCCAGTGGGATTAATTTGAAAGTATTCATGCAAGTAGTGGTTTTTTTTTTTTTTAAGTCCAACTATCCTGTCTCACCCAACTGTTAAATTTCAGATCCATCTGTGGTTTGCCCCTGGTACGGCCTTTTCACATTCAAGAATCACACCCTTCCTTACGTAATGGTGCCATCATTAATGCTTGCCTGGTCCATGTGGGATGTCCATCAGTGGTCTGGCCATGCTTCAAAGGAAGTGCTTCCCTTATCAACTTAATAAAAAGTTGCTGACAGTTCTATGTTAATGAAACCAGCAGGCCTTGATGTTCTAAAAAGATGGCAGACCTCGTAGTCCATGGATATTTGAGAGGTGTTTTTGTTTTTTTATTCTTTTTTTTTTTTTTAAGATTTTATTTATTTGACAGAGAGGGACATAGCGAGAGAGGGAACACAAGCAGGGGAGTGGGAGAGGGAGACGCAGGCTTCCCACGGAGCAGGGAGCCCGATGCGGGGCTCAATCCCAGGACCCTGGGATCGTGACCTGAGCCGAAGGCAGACGCCCAACGACTGAGCCACCCAGGCACCCCATGTTTTCTTATTCTTTACTTAGAATTAGTACATTCAGTTCTTTTTGGTCAAACAAGATCTAACTAAGCATCTTGCTTGGCTGGTCTGGATATCAAGAGATGGAAATGCTGGACATGCTGCCACACCCCAATAAGGCAGCAAAGCTTCCCTCCTGCTGCGTGGATGGTGCGCCTGCCGGAGCCACACGGAAAGTGAGGGAAGGCATTTGGTATGGAAGCCACTTCCTGAGAGTCAAAAGAATGTCACTCATAACTCACACAGTACACAGTGTTAAACATAAGATAACCTCATAAACAAAGATAACCACTTACTTCTCTGGGAAGACACCATTTAATTCCAAAAAACAGCCCAAGATTCACTTTTGCTTCTGCTCCTTTCATGGTTTTACTAGCATGCAAATCCACAATCCCATGTTCTTAATTCACCCTTTGGGTGTTCTTAATTCCCTTTCCGGGGGGTGAAATGCTCCCTTTCCTTTCACATTAAGCCAATTTATCCAAGAGTGTTATTTCATCTATTAATTGTTTATATTTGCAAAACCGTGCCACATGCCCTTAAGCCCCCAAATGCTTGTATGTCTTTATAAGATAATATGTCAGTACTTTAATAATTGAAACATCGGTGTCAAAGAAAATAGAACAAATGGCAAATGCCCTTACACTGCATGGTGTGTAGGTTCCACCCGCAACTCTTGGGTGTTCCTGGGGCTCTGGATGGCACTGGACTCCAGAGTTGGTACAGTGGTCTGGGACCTCCTCTGCCTAACACTGGAGACTCTTCCCTAAAACCTTCAGGGCTTTCAGTCTCCCATTATTCCTTCTCAGTGAGTGCCTTTAAATATATAAGAAAAACTGATCTTCAATCTGTTATACATATATTGGTATTAAATATAAGAAATCTGAAAATAAATTGATACTCTGTCTGTTGAGGTGTTGTAGAGAGCTTTCCATGAAGTAACAAGGGACCTACATGCATTTGTTCCACAAATAATAATGAAGGTCTCCCATGGGTAGGGCTTTGCTGGGGCTAGGAGAAGAGTGGTGAGTCAGAAATGGTCTTTGACTCCAAGCAGATCGTGGCCTACGGGAGTGCAGCATTCAAACAGGCAATCGCCCAGCAAGATAGAAAGTACTCTGGAAGTCCTGAGCACATGGAACGAGGGGAGCTTGCAGTGGGGACCAAATTTCGTTCTTAGAAGCAGATATTTCCAAACTGAGATCTGAAGGAGACAAGGAGGTAGTCAGGTGAAGGAGGGGAATTGGGGCAGAGGTGCTTTCTTGGCAAAGCGAGGGTCACGCGCTGTTCTCAGGTTTGTTCTAAAAGTGTTGACCTGATGGAAGGAGCCATAGTATAATAAACAGCTATCCTCCAGACATATTGTTGTTTTTTTTTTAAAGATTTTATTTATTTATTTCAGAGAGAGATTGAGAGACAGAGAGCACGAGAGGGAAGAGGGTCAGAGGGAGAAGCAGACCCCCCGCTGAGCAGGGAACCCGATGTGGGACTCGATCCAGGCACTCCAGGATCATGACCTGAGCCGAAGGCAGTCGCTTAACCAACTGAGCCACCCAGGCACCCCTCCAGACATATTGTTTTAAAACATAGTATCTGTATCAACCCAGAATGAATAGGCACCCCTTCCTTAACCTTCTCTTGAAAAGATAATACTCCTATACACCATCAGTTTATATCATGTCTTCAGGTCGTATGGTAATAAAAAATATAAAGACTTCATTCATTACCTCTTAGATACAAGTAGAGAGTTTGTTTTCTACCAACATGGTGTTAATAACTATCAGCCAGTCGCATTCATTGAATAGACCTCCTGTTTAAAGCATTGTGTTTAATGGGATTTTAGACATGTAGACAAAAGGAATTTATAATTTAGCCCGAAGAGCGTACTGTTGGCACACAGGGACACACTGCTCCCTTAGGGTTCTCCGCAGAGTAGACGTAAGCATCGGCTATATGGCAAACACGCACACAGCACTGATAGGGGTCGCAGAGGACGGAGGTGTGGATGGTGCTCGTCCACAAACGCCAGGAGCTTGCACACAACATGTTCACTTTTCACCTAGTTGGGATTGTCACTCCCAGCTGTCATGGAGTGAACATCTCCTCCCTCCCAAACCCAGAAACTGCATTCTTGGGGATGCAGCTTGAGAATTTGAAACTTTAGACAGAAAGAAGTAAGATCTTAGTGATAGACCTGTGAGGACAGGCTAAGACCTGCAGCATGAAAGAGAATTGAGGTTCCCAGTGTTGCAGATGAGTCTGATGGGCTCTCACCGTGGACAGTATCATCGGGCTTCATCTCTGTGTGTTATGCAACTGTCTAATCTTACAAAGAGTCACATAAAAAGGTATTTAAAGAGCAGACCTATGCCCCATGTCAAAAGACTGACAAGTCAACAAAGGTTTATATGTTTTATGTTAAAATGAAATGATTTACGTGTGGCATCAACTTGTATTGTTCTCGAACCTAACTGACGTTTGTGACTCAGTGGCCTTCTGGTTCAGACCAGGGAGGTTGGGAGAGTCACCACTTAGTTAAAAAGACACAATATGCAAACAGAAAGGCACACATACGAAGTAGCCTCCGGTAAATATTGAACAAGCAGCTCAGATCGTAAATACCAGTAAGTTTAAGGGCAGGAGGGGACTGTGGTGGGCTTCATGGCTGGGGGAAGAGAAAAGAAAAGCTTTATTGATTACCTACTGTAACTTGAATCATTCTTATGGTAGTTATCTATGTAGATTGAGGGGATATAGTAAAAAAAAAAAAATGGCAGTTCTCACTTTGCACTCACTAGTATGAGAAATGAAACAGAAGAAATAATAATAAAATGGGATGCATTCTAATATTAAAACCCTTCCTGGTCATTCAGTAATGGGAGGATATATCCAGCAGAGGCTTATTGGTCTTTTTTTATTTTTTTAAGATTTTATTTATTTGACAGACAGAGACACAGCGAGAGAGAGAACAGAAGCAGGGGGAGTGGGAGAGGGAGAAGCAGGCTTCCCGCCAAGCAGGGAGCCCGATGTGGGGCTCAGTCCCAGGACCCTGGGATCATGACCTGAGCCAAAGGCAGATGCTTAACGACTGAGCCACCCAGGCGCCCCGAGGCTTTTTAGTCTTGTCTTAACGTTGTCCGATGTTTTTTTTTATTGTGCTCCATTGTTAACGAAATGCTGCTTAGCTCTTTGGACCAGAACTGTATTTTAATTTATTTTAATTTCAATCAGCCACCATTAGAAATAATACAGATGTTGAGTACATGAATGAACATTCAGCGTCTCCGCTTTCCATAACGAGAGACAGACTGTTTCTCCTCCAGTTAGGCTAAAATCTTGTGAAAGGCTTCTGTTCTTGGGTATGAATTTTTTTTTTAATGAATTTCAACCCTTGTTTTTTCAAAATTGTTACTTGTGTTTACATTGCAAAACAAATGTGATATTTTGGGGGATTCTGCACCCTCTGTACCTGGAGTTGTGACATTGTTTGGAAAAGGTCAGAGGAAGTTACTGGAAAACAGGAAGCTGCCCTTGTGCACTGTGAGAGCCTGAGAAAATTTTCATAGTAGAAAATAGTTTATTCGGCAATGCACTGTGCTTCCTGGAAAAGAGTCCACAGAGTCTCCCTGAGCATAGAAAATGATTGATTTTTGACCATAATTTGAGACAGAGCTCAAACCCCTTTCCTGTTGGTGGGGCTTGAGTTCTCCTGAGAGGAAGTCCCTGCACCCAGGGTAATGGTAGTCCAGTCACTGCCTCGCTGTCACTCCTCACGGCATTGTGCGCAGTGCACTGACCTACCACTCTCGGCGCCCTTCAGTTTCGATCAATTTAAATGTAGCACCCCTGCCCAGAGCCTTGTCCAGCAGCCGCTGCTTCATGGCTGGTGTCGGCCCCTGACGGCGGACACTGACACTTGTCCTCAGTGTAGCTTCATCAAAGTAGCTCGTGCGACCCTGTTTGGTCGCAGGAATGATTCATGTACCCAGACGGTGCACCCCGCTTTGGCCTTCCGCCTGTGCACCTTTGGTCCTCTTTGCCGCTGGTATGGCCCGCCCCGCTGGTTCCGAAGGGCCGAGCAGCCACGTGCTTGTATCACTGTCGCCATAGGTCTTGCTCCTTCTATTTATATGGTGTGTGTCTGTATCAGTCTGCTTCTGTTCACTTTCTCATTTGTAGAGAACACTGAAAACCACTCTGCAACACCAGCAGCTCCTGTTCCGTCTCCTCCAGCTCTTCCTAAGCCTAAACCCAAACCTAAGCCCAAAAAAACACCTGTGCCTCCAAAAGGGGCTGCTGCCGGGGCAAGCCCCAAGGGTGACGAAGTGCCTCCTATTAAAAAAATTACCAAGGCTCCTGGTAAGCAGGCCCCCGTCCCTCCACCCAAGCCAACGAGCCGAAACACGACCCGAGAGGCTGGTGAGTATGCCCCCTGGGGGCTGGAGTCTAGGGTGTTTGGCTCTGGGGTGGGGCTCATTGCTTTTTCTAGGAACGGTGGCCTTTCTGGTATCTGGTGTCTTAGAATTAACACTGGTGGATTTCACTTTGCCCTAGAGAATACCCAGGAGATTCCTTTGTTGTTGCCTCTACCAAAGGAAAGTCAGCCAGTTGATTAGTTGACCTCATTAGTTTTTGGGTGAATAGACCTCTTTCATTCCAAGTATCCACTATCGGTGTAAGAACCAGTAGAAGGATTCAGGGTGTAGTGTGCCTGATGGATGCCAGTGATCTGATATCACATTATTTACACATCGCCTGGCCTTCTGCCTATTTGAGTTTATGGGTGGCTCCTTGGCTTGGATTTTCCTTTAAAATGTATATGATCTTATATGCATATATCTTATATCACATATAATCTTATATGCATATAAGAATATGACACTTACGTCTTTGACATTTTTGCTGGAGCTTAGTATCTTAAATCTATCCACAGACGTAGTCATCTCTCTACTGATAAATGACAAAGAGTTCACGTCACTCAGTCCAGCTCCGCCCCACCACTCTCTACTGGAATCACAGCTTTTTCATCCGAGTTGAGGGTCACATGCTCAGTGTTCACTGTCCACCCTCATCCCCAGACTTGCGTGTGTTAGAAGGAATAGCATTCTACAGGTGTAGTTCCATTCACTATTGCACATCACCACGGGTGGTTTGGGCAACCTACACACAACGGGTAATGTCTGCCCAGCGTTCCTCTCAAATCAGTTGTGCTTAATGCAGAGTGGAGCTCCCCGTCTTCTAGCCAAGTGGCGTAAAGAAGCCTACCATGTCGTCCAGCTGCAAAAAGGACAGTAATCAAAGTATACCTGCTGAATGGCTTTTTCCGCTAACACACGCATAAACATTCTCCTGTGTTGTAGCAAACCTTATTTTCCTCAAAATCAGTTACTTTCTTGCAGTTGGCTACCAGGATATGCCTCCGTGTTGATCTTTTTCCCTCCGTCATTTATACCCATACTGCTCAGAGAATGGTTTACTGACAGTATAGCAGAAGTCCACATACAAATAGATATTTCTCTACCTGTGCTCCTCTCTTCGGCCTTTGACCTCGAGAGTCTGGGTGTCTTCTAATAAGCTCTGAAAGGAAATGTCTCAGAATGCTGTGCTTACAGTGCCAACGGGCCATTTCCTCAGGTACCAACTGCCCTGTGTCCATTCTTGTTGGCATCGCTCTGGTGCCCAGACTGCCCAGCAAACCTGAGGAGCAGTGCTTGAAGGGAGGCAGGCAGTGATCCACTTCTTAAAGAAAAGCCCCAAACAATTGCCCCGTGCTTGGGAATTACACAAACTTTCTCACTTCCTCCTGCCCCATAGGGTAGAGGCTCAGTATTGACTTGGCTTGGGCTCTCTCATTTCTCCCAGAAGAAAGCTGGTGATTAATGCCGGGACAGGGTACAGCTTTCATGAGAGATCTTGAGTTATATCCAGATATTTTACTTGAAGGTTTATTTATGGGCTCATGATGTTCCTAGGAGAATAATACAGTCACATTATTATCCATTGTATTAAATAAGGTTCCACTGGCCCATAGTGTGAATAACAGTGTTGCTCTTCTCAGGTCATCCCAGAGAAACAGGGTTTCATTGAACTATACCAACAAACCTGATGTGCAAGAATGCCTTTATCAACTATTGGTCATACTCCTTCAGATTCCAACTGATATTCCACTTGTAACCATTTAGAACTTTCTATGTGGTGACTTTGTTTTATTTGAATAATGTTGTCCTTCTAGAAAAGTTACTTCAAATGCAACTCATGATTTTTCGTCAGATGTTTCCATTCTTATAAAAGCTATCAGTTAGGATTCTTCTTCAATTCCTCGGTTAGTATAGACCTCCAGATAACCAGATGCTGGCTTAGCACATTCAACTGCTTCATGAGTGAAGTAAGGTCAAATCTCCCATATTTTTTTTCTTTCTCATTGTTACACACTGTGTTAACAACGAAAGTATTTAACCGAGGAGAGGTGGCTTTACTTTTTTAATCATGGCCTAATTCAAGGTAGCTTAAGCGACATGGTGGATTTCAGCAGTCTTGTCATTTAGTTAACTAAACATAAGCTAAAGTTAACTAAAGATAACTGTTAGAAAAGAAAGAATTTTCTTTAAAAATATATATGTATAATGCACATTAATATACGTATGGGTATATGAAAGGGATTCTGTTCAATTTACCTACAAAAGTAACTGAATGTATTTAGACATCAAATCCTTAGATCTTTGTTGTGAAAAATAAATTTAGAATGGACTTAGATTATAGAAGTATGCTTAATACCCTGTCTTATTAGCAAGTGAAGATTGTTAGCTTCAGAGAAGTAGTATGAGCAGGCCCAGACTTGGGGTAGTGTGAATTCTAGTTGTGTGTATCTAAAATAATAAAGCCCCCAAGCCATAAAGATACCTTTTAAGTCTGGATCTTCTTACCAAGTGAGACTCACACTTTTTTAATATGTCGGAGTTGATGAAGTCTTACATCTCATTGTCTGTTCCTTTATTTGTTCTTCATTTCTTGACCCTCCCCCAACTGACTTCAGTAAAGGTAAGTTATAATAACATCTGTTATGGATTGGCTCCCTGGTACTAACAAGATATTTTGTAATAGTTCTGCGGAAGATAGTTTAACCCCTCATGAAAAAGAAGGAATGTACCACATTACAACAGAAGAGACAATTAGGAGAAATTTGTAGATCATACAGGTCATGAAACAAAAGACTATTCTCATAGGAGTTTAAATGTGTTTCCCAAAATGATATAAAGAAAAGGAGAGTTAAGCTCTTTTTTTTTCCTGAAAATTGTTTGGTTGAAGGCAATCATACCCAAAAGCAGGCAAATACCTTCTAGTGGCCCCAACCATCCTCTGATGAAGACCCTCTAGGAACATAAGAGGTAAGGAAGATGGGCTTTGTGAGGGTGTTGGTCACAAGATCTGAGAATGACATTCTTTCCCTTCAAATTATTCCAGTGCTACCCATGTAGACATTTTTTGTAAAAAATAATTTTTCATATTTTGTGGGTTTCGGGTTTTTTTTTAATTTAAATTCAATTTAATTAACATACAGTGTATTACTAGTTTCAGAGGTAATTTAGTGAATCACCAGTTGCATATCACACCCTGTGCTCATTACCTGAAGTGCCCTCCTTAATGCCTATCACCCAGTTGCCTTTTGATATTTTGAAGGGGACTTGCCTTTCTAATGCGGCCATGTGTTTTCTCTCTGCCTCATCGCCACTGCAGATGGAGGTGCGGCTGGCATGGCAAGCTTCTCTCTCTCGAGCCATGGGGATAACTGGTTTAGAGTTGAGTACATTTGCTTTTGTTCCAGAAAGGAGCCAGAGGGATATACCCTGGCCACTCTGAATGCGGGCCGCTCCATTCCCAAAAAGACATCATTGAACATGTAGAATTTGTGATGAGCCCAACCTGCCCGGTTATAGGACAGCTGCTGTCTGTCCTTTATACACTGTGTTGTCCCTTCTTTGGGGCATGCAGGGACTCATTCAGGTGACCTATAAGACAAGCAGCTGAGGATTTCCCTTTGGCTGGTCCAGCCAGAAAAACTAGAGGGACTCCTCTTGTCCCTTAAGTTTTGCCTTCAGCATCACTGGCTCCCTCCTAGATTCGGGGTAGGAAGGAGGCAGAAAATAAAACCATTATCGTTATTAGCCTATTTCCTTTTATTTGACAAATGTAAACATTTTACAGGGAGCATCATAATTGACAATTGCAACTCATTTGTTTAAACAAATTTAAACTCATTTGTTTATTCTTTGACTTTTAATGCAAAATCTCTCTATTTTAGCTGGTTCCTCTCATTCAAAAAAAACAACTGGGTCCAAAGCATCAGCTTCACCATCTACTTCCTCCACCTCGTCTCGTCCCAGAGCTTCAAAGGAGACACTTTCTAGCAAAACAGGGACAGTGGGAATCACAAAGGGCAAGAAAAAAACTGGCAAGCAGCCAGCCTCTCGCCCATCCTTGGATGCAACCACTTCTGGCACATCTGACCTTAAAGGAGAACCTTCTGAGACGAGGGTGGAGAGTCTCAAGCCTGAGCAGACTGTCCCTGGGACCGATGAGCAGACCACAGGCAAATCTAAGTCTGCAGTCCCTCCACCTCCTGTGGCTCCTCCACCTCCTCTCCCCGCCCCTCCTCTTCCTCATGAGGAGCAGTGTGCTTTTGCCTCAGACACTCCTGTTGTCCTGGTCAGCAATGGAGCTGACCTGCCCGTCCCTGCCTTAGACCCAAGTCAGCTTCTCTGGACCGAAGAGCCCACCAACAGAACCACTGTCCTCTCAGGCACTGGCTTAAGTGTTAGCAGAGAAAATGCAAAATGGTGAGTTGGGGCATAAACCCCCGTATTGCATCTGTATCCCCAGTGAAACATTGTGCTAAAGATCACTAAACCACTCTATGGGAATTGAAGGAACCTACTTGGTTTGGTTTTACAATGTAATCTAGTGATTGTTAGGTAAGCACACGTATCATCCAACCATTGGTTTTTTCGTAGCCCTGCCCCAGGAATGTCACAGGCTACTGGAGAAGATGACATCGGTCCTACTGACAGGTACCACTTCAGATCTGTGGCTTTCAAGTAGATTTAGAGCCTGCTTCATCACTGTTCAGCAATCCCTTTTCTTTTTTCCCGGGACAGTTCCCTTTTCTTTCCTTACAGTGGTTATTTTAAGTCTTTACTACCTGTGTCCAGATGGCTCACCCACTCCTGCCTACCTTCATTACAAGTCACTTAGCCTTCTCTTTCTCGAAGAAAATAAAACTCTCTCAGATTCCACCCCTTTTTCCACCAGCTTCAGAGGGGCCCCCTTTCTTGCTTCCTCAATTCCCCACCCAACTCCAATGTTACCTCCTCTCTGATGCATTTCAGCACTCATCCAGACAGAACTGGTTGGTGCATCTACTCTACTCTGGCAACCCTTTTTTCCTCTCTCCATGGGACAGAGCTACGCAATATATCTGTTTGCCTCTACATCCCCGGCAACCAGCACAGAATCTGGAATGCCATAGACATGACATCATCCAGTTGTCCAAGCCAGAAACTGGGGATTCATCCTAAGGGTTCTCATTCTTCTTCATTCCCTGCATCTAACTCCTCACAAAGGCCTGTCCACAAAGGCAAAAAAACCACATTAGCTCGCCTGTCCCACAGGTATGAAGGGAGGGCTGTCGGCGTATAGTAGTTGTCATAACCAATTCTGTCTCGGGAAGTCTTAGCGTTCTTAAATCCAACCTCTCCTCTCCTGTTTCTAAGAATAAAACTAAAATTCACTCTTGTGATCATTTAATATTTTCTCTTTTAAAAAAAGCTTAGTCAGATTAGACTTAAAAAAATTAGTACATTAATTAAGTTGATTTGGATCAAGAGACTAGCGTCGTTAATTATTCAATTGCTGATAATAATCGCCTTCATTTATTGAATAGTTATTTAATGTCAGGAACTGTCAGTTATCATTAATTCACATAAGTCTTCCCTGAAATACCTGTTTAATAGATGAGAAAACGGACACTGAGAGAGGGAAAGTAGTTTGCCCTAGATTCCCCACTTAGTAAGTAGCAAAGTCAGAATTTAGGCTCAGAGCTGCACACTTACTGTGTTCTAAGAAATTTTGTACATTTCCAAAGCACTTGCTTCTACTTCTGCAATTTCTTTTGTGTTTGTTGCTTGTTTTTTGTTTTTATCATTTTGAGTACTATGGTTTGGAGGAAAGCCAAGGAAAGATAAATGTTAAATTATAAATTATTTTATTTGTTTGACACATTAATAAACAATATGGGAGAAGACATTGAAAGGAATGGCTATGATGTCTGTAACACTTCTAACACATAGCAAATGTCTTCATTTAATTATAGTGTGTGTTTTCCAGCATTGCAATGAACTCCAACCTTTAGAACTCAAAAATCATTCTTTGAGCATATATTTGCTGCTTGCCTTCTATGGGCTGGGCAGTGTACTCAGCACCAAAGATACAAAAGTAAGCAAGATGGGGCACCTGGGTGGCTCAGTCGGTTGAGCATCTGCCTTGGGCTCCAGTCATGATCCCAGGGTCCTGGGATCGAGTCTGGCATCGGGCTCCTTGCTCAGTGGGAAGCCTGCTTCTCCCTCTCCCTCTGCTTGCCGCTCCCCCTACTTGTGCTTTCTCTCTCTCTCTCTCTGTCAAATAAATAAATAAAATCTTGAAAAAAAAAAGTAAGCAAGACCAAGACATTATAGTTAAAAATAGTTCTTACCAACATAATGTCCAACATGCTCAGGAAGTACAAATATTTAAGACAGGTGTGAATAGATTGAATATATGGGTTTATTCTTCACTATACTAAAGGACAAGGTACAACAAAGTGATTCCTTAGATAGTCTTTGGCAGTGAGAGAGCCCATATCCCAAGGTGACTTGACGCTGTCTGGTCCACTTCCTCAGACATGTAGGGAAGCCACTATATTGTGCTAAGCACTGTGCTGCACGAGGAGGGGGGCTTAATGTCAGTCTGCAGCCCAGGTATGCACAGGATTGTCAGACAAATAGGCGAGCGTCTGTTCCCTATTTCCACTGGAACTATGACCAGAGAGCAAGCTTAGAACATCATTAGACATCGAGATATTTATATATAGATTTTTCTGTCACTCTGGATAACTATAATCCTTTCCTAGAAGGGGGCATTGAGATTTTCTTCTCTGTATGTTCTTCAAAGTTAAAATTTAAATAGCAGTTCATTCCACAGGAGTGGTTTGTTTGCTCTTGAGTTAATGAGCCTGGAATAAGTAGTCTCTCAAATTTTTTTCCAAATTCTTTCTTCCGTTTTTAAGTAGATATTTCAGTTAGAATTTCTAGCTCTTAGTCACTTGCTTTACTTAGAACTTTCCCTCAGTTATGTTTAGTGAACGAATGTGTGAAAATCCTGTCATCTTATGAAGAGGCTTCTGTTTGGAATACAAATATTAAAACTTTAAAGAAGATAAGTGGCTTTGTGTAAAAATATCTTCCTCTATTCACATATTGCAGGGTAGTAACAATGTGGTAGATTTCTATTTATTGGCGGCTTCATTAGTATCATATAGGTCTGGGATAATTTAAGGCGGACACTAAGAAGCCCATCTGGAGCCCATATCCAAAGGGGACTTGACTGTGTTTAGTCCCATTTCCACGAACACTTGAGTTCACTGTTTTGTCCAATGTGCCCAAGACACCTAGGGGCAAATGAGAGGCAGATCATGAGTTGATTGACACAAATTTGGAATACGATAATTTACTATTAAGTTAATTATAATCTACATAATATGATATGAATATAACTTACAGTATCAAGTATAAAATAAAATACAACATTTAATAGGTAGATTAAGAGTCTTAAGTCTGGGTTCTAGAATGGACCTGATACCTTGTTTCGGACAACGCACCCATGGTCTTCTCAGGTTCCATGAACTGCAATTTATCTGTCCCCTTATACTGGAGAACAGATGTAAGTTGTAAATGTATGCAGAAGTCTTTGAAAACTATAAAACATTATAAAATACAAGTGGTGACATGAAAATAATGATAGATATCATAATAAATTAGTGAGCAGTGACAGAAACAACTACCAGGGCTCAGCCCTGAAGTATCTTTTGTTCTGCTCTTCAGAATGTGTTATTAATTGACACATCTACTAAGTGTGCTGTGTTCACCCACAATGGCAGGCTGTTCAGACAAGGATGGCTTCCAGTGGCAGTCAACTAGAAATCCAGACTGTGGAAAAGTTGTCCATATTTAAAAGGAGATTTCATACTGTGGTAACAGTGTGGTGGTTCCTCAAAAAATTAAACCTAGAATTACCATGTGATCCAGCAGTTCTACTTCTGTGTATATAGCCCCCAAAATTAGAAATAGGTACTTGAATAGATATGTGTACACCAGTGTCCTTAGCAACATTATTACAACAGCCAAAAGGTAGAAGCAGCCCAAATGTTCATCGACTGATGAATAGATAAAATGCGGCGTATATATGCAATGGAATATTATTCAGCCTTAAAAGAAATTCTGACATATGCTAAAGCATGGATGAACCTGGAAGACATGCTAGGTAAAGTAAGTCAGACACAAAAGGACAGATGTTGCATAATTTTGCTTATATAAAGCACCTAAAATAGCAAAATTCATAGAGACAGAAAGTAAAATGGTGGTTGCCAGGGGCTAGGGGATGAGACTGGGGAGTTATTCTTTAAGGGGACAGTTTCAGTTTGGGAAGATGAGAAGATTCTGGAGATGGGACAGTGGTGATGGTTGTACAATAGTGTAAATGTCCTAACTGCCACTCGACTATATACTTTAAAATGGTTAAAATGTAAAATTTTATGCCGTGCATATTTTACTCAATAAAAATAAATAAAATATGCTGTGCATAGTTTCCCCTTTGAAAACAAGAATTTTGGCTGTTGGCTTTTTCTAATTGAAAATTTTTTAGAGTGCTTAGACTAATAACCACAAAGTACAATTTTCAATACCTCAGATTCTGACAAAGTTTACCTGTTTTTATTACTCAAAAGAACTTTTTGGGGGGGGGTTGGGGTTTTTTCTTTTTTTTTTTTTTTGGTTTTTTAAGTTAATGAAAACAGCAAGCACATGCTTTGCACAAAACGGTCTTTCAGAAGTGTGACATCCAAATTTGGATTCTTCTGTTTTTATCAGAAGGCAATTTGTGGATTTTCTGAATCTTAAAATGAAGATTACATTGTTTTTGATATGATATGTTTTCGGTATGTTTTCAATGACATTTTTTTTTCCTATTCTAGTCTGTGAAAACTGGCAGACTTTGTATATTTATAGTAACTTTAAACCAGAGACTCTTACCAAGCTAACTAATAGAAAATTATTGCATACATGCACATCACCTTTCTTGTATAGAGTGCGTTTAACTCCCCCTTTTTCCATGTCACGTTACTAACATATTCTTGTGAGGGGCAGTTTTACAAATGGAGAAACTAAAACACAGAGACGATACATGATTTTTTGACTCGACACACTGGCTGTGATGAAAATAGGATTAATTCATACATCAATTAAAGAAGGTATGTTTTTCTGTCACTACCTTTCTAGGTGTTGGGCTGCAAATCAATATGAATCACACTTGTCAAGGAACTCTGAGGGCTGAGATGGCAGACAAGTGAATGGTGGTCGAGGTGCAGTGTGCTAAGTGCTCCAGTGGGGTTGTCTTCAGATCACCTTAAGAGCCAGGAGGTGGGGCAAGGATCTAGATGGAAGGCCACTCAAAGATTCCTGAAGAAGCTATGGCTTTAGCTGAGGCTTGAAGGATAAGTAGGAGTTACAGGTACAGAATAAGGATAGACAAAGTCAAATATCCAGAAACTTCTAGTCCACTGTTCTTTCCACTGAGGCCCCATGGCTATGGAAAAATCAATTTGCAAACTATAGTTTTACCATGTTCATGTACTAAATATATCAGACATCATCTAGTCATTCCTTTATATTTTATAGAGGAAGAATCAAAAACCTTGAGAATGAAGTCCTACCGTATACTCCTGTTCCATTTCACCATTCCTACCTGCCTATGATTGCTTTCTCCTTTCGCCAACTTGAAAGATGCTCATGAATCTCGGGCTCCTTCTCATGGTGTTGGTGTTGTCCCCGAGGGTTGCTCTGAGCTTCACTCCACCCCTGTGTTCTTGTGCCTTTAACAGTTTTACAACCAAAGATGAGCCGGGAAAGGTGGCAGCTCAGCTACTGATTCCTGGGCTGACGGGAGAATCTTCAGAATCCTTCAGTGCCCCTGAGGATGAAGGCCAGAGGGAGGCCCAGGCCAATGACTCGGACTCTGATGGGCCTGTCTTGTACACTGATGATGACGATGATGAAGAGGAGGAGGAGGATGGCAGTGGAGAAAGTAAGACTTTTTTCAAGAGGTGGGGAGGAAAGTGGATGGTGGATAGAAGCAGGTGCGTTTTGTAGATTACAGAAGCCATCGGTGATCAGATAGCTGATGGTTTCTTTCCCCTCATATTCTTTTCTCAGATTAGAATTGTGTGTGTTCTAAGGTTTAGCTTTTGATGACAGGCCTTTCCAGAAGATGGTTCCACAAGGGCCAGGGGGTCAGGCCTTTGTTTATGAGGAAGATATGCACATTTGTATTTGTACAAGGAATCAGAGCTTTCTAATGACAGAGGTGTTTTCAGAATGATCAGAGATGGCCCTTCCACTCTGAGATCTTTCTTTTTTTTTTTTTTTTAAGATTTTATTTATTTATTCATCAGAGAAAGAGAGGGAGGCAGAGGGAGAGGGAGAAGCAGGCTCCCCGAAGAGCAGGGAGCCCGATGCGGGGCTCGATACCAGGACCCCGGGATCATGGCCTGAGCCGAAGGCAGACACTTAACCGACTGAGCCACCCAGGTGCCCCCCTGAGATCTTTCTTGAGTAAAGAGCATAAACTTGGATTCACTGGATTACTTAATTGGAGATGTTCGAGACTTTAAAGAGAGGGGTTTAAAGAGAGGGGAGGGAAGAATGAGTTGAGAAAGACAAATACCTTTGAAGAATTAAAAAAAATCGTTCTTCCACATAGGTGAGATAGGATGCCTTTTAGGAAGGAGTGATACAGTAGATTAAGCCAACTGTTTATATATAACTTAGGGAACTGGAAAGTGCTCTTTTTTTAAAAAACTTCTAAGCATCATGGCTTAGGAGTAATTCACTATGGAATTGAATTTATACATTGTGAAAAGTTATTAATGATGAAACATCAGTTTGTCAAGTTCCTTTTAGTTTGTACTGAAAAACAATGACAAAATCATTATCATCCACCTGGTATTAACTATCCTCTGTTGAGGATTCTTGGTAATTAAGGATTAAGACATTGCTACCATAGGTAAACTTTTTCCAGCGTGCTTTTTGAGTGGAGGAAAGGGGAAGACAAGAATTAACTGTACAGTATAAATAAAGGAGCTATGTTTTTAAGGCTTAGAAAAGAGAGTGTTACACAATCTGTAATTTCCATGATACGCTGTCTCAGCAAAATAAACTTCAGAATCACTTTCCAAATGATGAGGTGATATTTGCAAGTTTTTTCATGGTGCCCCAACATTTTTCAGGACATTTTTAAAAATAGTTCTTCAGTTTTTCAAAATGAACTACATCCAACTCAGAACTTTTTTTTTTCCCTGAGGTTAATTAAAATTCCACTCTTGCATTGGATAAAGAATTTCATCTGGACTCTGTTTAAAGTCCATGCCACGTGTAACCTGAGTGCTGCTTGCTTAAAGCCTCTTTCTCTGCATTTCTGCGTTTTCCAATCCTCAGGTGCTTTGGCGAGTAAAATACGACGAAGGGATACTCTTGCTATCAAACTTGGCAACAGACCATCAAAGAAGGAACTAGAGGACAAAAACATCTTGCAGCGCACATCTGAAGAGGAGAGGCAGGAGATCCGACAGCAAATTGGAACCAAGCTCGTCAGGTAATGGCTGAAATGTTCATACAGCACTGACCAGTTATTCCTTGGGTAAGGGCACACCTGGCCTGTGTGGTTTTCTAAAGTTGGTCCTGGATGGTGAACCACTCCAAGAAGTTGCCCTCTGGTCCAGCCAGTCAGTGGCTTTGGCATCGCCAAAGCCTGAAGCAAGTGTCAAAAAACTTTTGCTGTTAAGGACCAGTCGGGGTGGTGTTACAGCCACATCACCGTGCTGTTGTGTGAAAGCAGCCATGAACGTTACGTAGACAGATGGGTGTGGTCATGTTCCAATAAAACTTTATTCACCAAAATAAGCAGCAGGCCAGATTTGGTCTGTAGGTCATAGTTTGCCCAACTCCTGGTCTAATCCGTGGACTCTCTGGCATTCCTGGGACTGCCATGAGGTTCTACTGCCCTGTGGGCCTTGAGACTGTAGAAATAAGGAGCTAGCTACAATGACCATCCAAGTCAGGTTACTGTAGCCCCCCTATCATAACCTTCCCCTTTTAACTTCAAACAAATTGTTACTGATTTTACACTCTGCCTCCAGCCATTGTAGGGTTTCTGCTTTGGCCTCCAGCGCCTTTGGAAGTCCATTGAACTGGCAGTTCTAATAGAAGTGAGTGCCATTGTTTGATGATCAATTTAAGCATATTTAGTAGTATTATCTATTTTGCTGACTTCTCTCACTCTGCGTAAACAACAGAGTGCATCAGTTGGGAGAAGGGAGCCGTCTGGGATCCCAGGGCAGGATTTGGAACTGGAAGAAATCCCTCTCCTTGCTTGGAAATGGAAGACTTCTGTGACTGTGTTGGATCTGCAGGCTTGGCCTGGGGGGTGCAGTTCCAGAGGCTCTTCTCTGTTTGACAGATGGGGCCAAGCAGTGGCTGGTGGTGGGGAAATGAGATGCTGCACTAAAGCCCTTGAGTGCCTGGATCGTAGCAAGCACTTAACAAAATTAAACATTTTCATTAGTAATTTAAATCATTATATATCGGTTAACCAACAGCTAAAACATTTTTTAAAATTAAACCCCATATTGGCACCTTTGTTCAGTATTTCTGAAGAACAACTTAACAGTATGAAGAAAAGGAATCGTAAAGCGGTCTCTTTCTTTACGTGGTCATTCCGTTTGAGAGACGATACAAGAAGGAAATAATCCAAAAGGAAAACAAAACCAGGACACTTTACAAAGATGTTTATTTCAAGGCTATTTATAGCAGTGGCAAATTAAACCAAATGCTTGAAAACAGGGGACTGATGAAGGACATTGGGAGAAGGTGAACTAAGCCTCGGGCAGCGGTTTTCTGACTGCCTCATCAAGGAGTTCTTGGAGGCGATTCTCGGGCTTCTGTGGGGCCACCAGGGGCGGTGTGGGTGTGTTTGCGGTGGGATGGGAGGTGCTCCTTCACCCCATGCTCAGCCATGAACAGCCTCTTCTGTCTGTTTTATGTAAGGATTCTACCCCAACCCCCCAAGGTTTGAGAGCCTCTGGAAGTATACACATAAACCATATCCATAAAAACTTTTATTTGAGTAGAGATTTTAGTGTTCAAAATATGTAAATTTTACAGAATTGTTTTTCTACAAACACCGTACATGTAGTCACTGTCATTCAAAGATAAATCACCCATAGTCCCTACCTTGGGGGACTCTATGTGTAGTGGAAGAGACAGAAAGACATACTGCGTGGTGAGGTCAATGAAAAGCACAAGCATGTAGGTCAAGAGAACTAGGAATGAGGCTGTGCTCTAACACGCTAGTACTTTATCTCAAGCAAGTGAATTAATCTCTCATTTCCTCGTTTGTAAAATGGGAACTGGCTACTCCCTTGCCGAACTATTTTGAGGAGCCATGATAATGTAAATTAAGCACCTTGCACAGTGCCTGGGACTTTAAAAGTATGACCTAATGAGAACCATGATTATTGCCTTATCTTTATTATTACTTGTGTTGTAAGTGCTCTCACAACTGTGTGATCTGTGTGTGACCAACCGCGTAGGGCAGACAACCGGGAGTTTAAAACTCACTCGCGGGACAGGTCAAATGCCCACCTGCAGGTTACTATTTTAGTCATTTGTAAGATTTCAGTAGGTGGAGAAAGAGAGGAGGGCATTCCTGAAGGAGGAAACTCCATCAGTAAAAGGAGGAGGATGTCTTTGGTGGAGGATACGGTGTAGATACGTAACAGGATACGTGGGTACATGGGTGGCACCTCATCTGGCTGGCGTAGTAGCTCCCTGGGTTCTTCTGTAGGCTCAGTTATGTAAGTTACTTTCAAAGTGGCTCTAACGAAGATTAAACTTTAACAAAAATTTTAATGAGGTATTTAAAATACCATTGATTTCAGTTCTTCACTCCATTTCTGCCACAGGCATAACATTAGAATTGATAGTATCTTATATTAAGATTACCTTCATATATATGTTTACTTTGCACAAACTCCTCCTACATCCAGAAGGAATTTTACAACAAATCTGTGATTAACAGCAAATTAATACTATAAGCAAGACCAAGAACAAAGGTATAAAGCGTTGTTAGGTCATTCAGCGTTTGTGTACAAATAGTTAGCTACTAATCGCAAATGAGCCTGACTTTTGTTTTCTTTTTTTTTTTAAGAGTTTATTTATTTATTTGACAGAGAGAGACACAGCAAGAGAGGGAACACAAACACAGGGAGTCGGAGAGGGAGAAGCAGGCTTCCCGCGGAGCAGGGAGCCGGATGCGGGGCTTGATCCCAGGACCCTAGGATCATGACCTGAGCCAAAGGCAGACACTTAATGACTGAACCACCCAGGCACCCTGAGCCTGGCTTTTCTTGAAGGCAGATGGGAAGGGCCCATGTATCTTAAGATAACTCTTATGTGTAGTATAAATCCATTTGCGGTCACAAAAGCAGTATTTCTTTTTCTTTTTTTTTTTAAGATTTTATTTATTTATTCGACAGAGAGAGACATAGCAAGAGAGGGAACACAAGCAGGGGGAGTGGGGAAGGGAGAAGGAGGCTTCCCGCTGAGCAGGGAGCCCGATGCAGGGCTCGATCCCAGGACCCTGGGATCATGACCTGAGCCGCAGGCAGACGCTTAATGACTGAGCCATCCAACCGCCCCTCAAAAGCAATATTTCACTTGAAACTCTGTGCAGTGTAGACCAAGCATCTTTTGAGTTGGTATGAACTCTCAAGCAGAAAACTTTCATAGATTCTAATGATCTGTGTATTAATTAGGAGACAGGGAAACTGTTCTAACAGAGACCAAAAAGTGCAGTGGTCCAAATAAGACACTTTCATGTGTTTATTTCCTTTTCACATAACAGTCCAGAGGTAGGTGGGCTGTCCAGGGTGGGTGGGGAGCTCTATTCCTTGCAGTCAGCTGGGCACCCAGATTCTGTCCTGTTGCTCCGTGGATATTCTCATCTGCATGATCCAAGCTGGCTTACGTGACCATGTTTAAGTTCTAGCCTGTGGGGGAAGGAAAGAGAAAAGGGAAGGCACACTCAGTCATTTTAAGGGTAAAAAGCAAATGTTCCAAATACCACTCTGCTCACATCCCATCACAGGGACTCGGTCACATGGCCACACCTTGCTGCTGGGGAGGCAGAAGTCTGTAGTTGGGAGCCACAGCTAGATCTCAGGAGGTTCTAGGTCTAAAAGGAAGATGGAAGAATGGATAATGGGGAGTAGGTAGCGGTCTCAACCACAATCTTTAGTCTCCAAACTAACAGAAAGGATGGTAACCTATTTTGTAGGTTTAAAATGGATTTGTGTTTCTCAAACAGGAAAAAAAATAAAGCTTTGTGTCTTTGTTATTTTATTTTGCATCTCCCACCAAGGAGGCCTTGTTTGTAACCTGCGGTATATCCTTTTTGTCATCATAGGAGACTTAGCCAGAGGCCCACGACTGAAGAATTAGAGCAAAGAAATATCCTAAAACGTGAGTATCTTATATTGTACAATGATTCCTCATGTAACCATTAACAAGCTCCCTTTAGAGGCAATCTATTTATCAGTAAGAAACCTTAATATATTTGTTATTCACAAATGATTGAAATGGCCCATTTAGATCACATTCTTATAGAATTTAAAAAACAATTTCTTCAAGTTCATATTTTGTTTTATGGCTTTGAGCCTGGTATCCCCCAGACCAGAGTCACGATTGTGACAGTTGTTTTTAAGAGAGATGAAATATATTCCATGTATTCTTTTACCCAGATATTAAATAGAAGAAAATGCTCTAGTCTGCTTGCAAATAAATGTCAAAGAAAAGGCCAGAGAATCCACAAGGAAATAAATCAAACATTCCTATATTATTATTAATAATACAGTTTGTTGCCAGGTTTAACAGATGACTCAATTTAAAACAGAATTATGGTGAAAGAAATTTTTGAGTCCTTTTCATTTTCCTTTGTTGTGATAACTCTGTTTCCCTCTTGAGTTATTTATAATTTCTCAGCACTTAAGGAGTTCTCCATTCATTTTCCTACTTTATTTTCCCATTCTATTTTCCCCTCTGTTTTCTTTGACTTTACTTCTTACTTCCTAGTCCAGTAGAACTTCATTGGAGTTCGTATGTTAAAGCTATAAAACTAATAGATGCGGTTTGACGTTATATAGTATATCAATGTGGTTACCAACCACAGTGAGTTAAGTAATGGATATTTTTAAATTGAGCCTAGCTGCAGTTTTATATATTATTAACTTGGTTTCAAAAGAGCTTTTTATTGTATAAAATATCAAAGAGCATGGATGGGCAGAGCTCCGGATACAATAGTAAGAAGGCACTGGCATGTGGGAAATTTTTCTCAGTCAGGCTTTTAGAGTCAAATTGGCTTGTCTGGATGATCCCCACTCTTCAATCTGAGTTGTTTTCTTTCCCAAAGGAACAAAAGATTTTAATGGCATGTTTATACTATAGTTGCTCTTACTAAGACAACCCAACCAGGAGAATTGCCGGTCTATGGGATTCTTTCCTTGGAATGTTCTTGTCTGGCTCTTTGTGACCAAAAACTGGAATAGAACCCAAAGAAGGACTGAAGTGACCATCAGTGGGTAGAAGAGCCAGTATGGAGATGGAAAAAGTCATGACGAGAAAAGAAAAGAAAGTTGGGTTTTAGTGTTCTGAGGAAGGATGAAAGCAGCATCTAATTTTGACAACAACACAAAACCAAAAAAGCTCATGGCTTTTGACAATAGGTTCCTGGAAAATATTTGTTGAATTAAATTTTAGGTAAGCTCAAGTGCAGACCATAAGCTCCTAACACACAAAGATTATGTCTTATTGGATACCTAATGCAATACCTAGAAAAAAAAGGAAGACCAGATTCTGGGTAATTCTTTCCTGCTTCTGAGAGACAAATAGTGCCAAACCACACTGGCGTTTGGTTATTTGAGGAACTGTTTCATAGATGTAAAAATTTATCACACGTTGATCTTAAGTGCTGTCTTGGCTTCTATGCCCCATTTTCCTGGAGGTTCAGGGAAGAGGGAAACGCCAAAGTCAACTTAAGATTTGACTCCAGCCCTTTTCTTACTTCCTTCTTAGTTTATCTAACTATGCTTATTCTGGAAACAAAAGACACATTTCCAGTCTGGAGAGGCTGATAACTGGCTTATGATCTCCTGACATAATATTGTATAGCCAAGGGAAGCAGAAAAGAGAACTGGTGGAGGTCATCCAGAGCATTCCACTGAGCAATCCCAGGGAACTCAGCGGCATAGCTTACAATACTTTATTCAGCCTCTGTTTGCCTCTGGGTTCTTCCACATAGATTGCTCTTTTTTGTTTGTGTATTTCATCTCCGGCTTTTGTTCAAAAGCAATATGACTGACTCTTTAAAGAAAAGTCTGTGTGTGACATGGTGTTTTTTTTTTTTAAAGGACACTTATTTTAACTAGGTCGTCTTGTCTTGACAGACCAGGGAACTCATTCACAGCATAACTTCATTCAGCAGTTGTCAACTCTGAGCTCATCATTAGTTTAATAAACATGAGCCAGGTGGCAGTCAGTGTTGATCACTTTCACTGGAGACCACAGGACACATTTTATCTTTTAGTATTTCATTCCCACTATCCACCTTACCCCATCGCTTTCCTATTTTATGGAATTGAGGCTTTTTAGAAGAACATATAAAGTTAAATTTAGTTGTACATTTTAGAACCGATTCTTTAATATTGTTAAAAGTAGAAGGTAAGTTTTGGTGCTTGAAAGGTCAACGTTTGCCTATCAGGAAAAGAGATGTTCATGGAATACCTTTTATAGCACAGGGATAGAAGTTACAGATCTATTTAGTTCTGACTGTAATTCCATCTCTATATTCTATAGAGAAAAAATGTATCAAGTCATTGAGTGCTACGTGTATTTTTTCCCAACATTTTATTATGAAATTTTTTAAATATAGAGAAAAGTTGAAAGAATTTTACAGTAGACACCCATATATGTACTATTTATATTCTACCATTAACAACTTATCACATCTTTTTTTTTACATTTTATAACATCTTGCTTTATCACATATCTGTCTTTCCATCGATCCATGTTATTTTTTGATGCATTTCAAAGTAGATTCGTAAATGCATTTTCATTTGTTAAAAACACCCTTATAGAAAAACATGTTAAATCAGCAAAAAGAGAAACAAACCCACAAAAAAATAGTTGGCTTTTTTTAGCCTAGTGTATCCAGATGGATGACTCAAGACTGTAATATTTCAGGTGCTGATGTTTTGATGCTTTTCTGTCTTCTCCTTTTAGCTCATCCATAAAATGCTGTGGGCAACACTTGCTAGCCGGGCAGGTTTCCTGCAGTGCCCACGGCTGTTAAACCACATGTATTGTTTGTGTGTGATGGCAAACACTTCCTGTGGCTGTTCTAGAATACCCCTCCTCCCCACCAAGCCCTGCTCTGGGGAGTTACTGGAGGCAAGATTTGTCAATGAGCTACGTCATTTCCTTCACGAATATCCCTCCAGTCTGTTTAAAGGGACCAGAAAGGTTTACATCCTACTTTATAATTGGCCCTCTAATAAGTAAACGAAGGAAACATTTAAAAAACAGCGAATTTTTTAAACTAAGATTTAACCTTGATTCTTTGTAAGAGATTTTACAAGTATTTAAAAAAATGCAGAACAACAGTCGTGCTGAATTCCCTCCACCTCTCACTTTCTTGAACTTCTTTAAAAGCACAATTTCAAATATGGAAATATGTAAGGAAGTCAGCTCCTGATGTTAAAAAGAATTCCCAAGTGATAAAATCCTGTTTATTGAACTCCCTCAACTGCAGTTGGCCCTTCTTTTTTTTTGAATGGGTAACATGCTGTCGCCCGGTGTATACTATGCTTAATAAGATGAAATTATCGAATATCCCCTTGTGAGAATTAAAGCATTTGTTGGTTTTGAGTCATATTTGATACCCACTTTTCTGTCTTTGAAAAGTACCTTTAAAAATACAGCACAGTCACTGTATAGGAGGAATTGACTAAAACGCTTTGAGGATTTTATTTTCCCTTTTATTAGTAATATCATCATAGGCGACCTTGTAAAGCCTTAGTTTGAATCACATGAACCACAGGTTTGGCTCTTGTCTATTATGTATAATTTATAACCTACATGCCTTATCCAACTCATGTAAAGTAAATATTTGACCCTAAGGATGTATTTTAAGAATACCAAAGGACATATATTTTGTGAAGCAATTAGAAAAACCTACAGTGTTTTCATAGGAAGAAACCTGAATTATAACAAAATTTGTTTGACACACAGGCACTTTACTGAAAGTGTACTCACTGGTTGTTTCTTATTTTTGAAGAGTGATTTCAGTTTATGCTTATTCTTTGTCTAAATAACCAGACAGATCATCTTCTTTCTTATGAATTAAAATTAGTATTTTGGAAGAATGTTGAAACTTTTCCCTGTCCAGATAAGGAAAATTAATAGAGAATTTAGCATGTTCAGTTAACAAATACAGTTGGTACAAATATTGAATATTGATATTTTATTTGTGATAAAAACAATCTTAGTGGTAAGAAGTCTATTTGAATTTTAAAAATAAATTTACCTTTTCATAGAGGAAACTTTTCTTTTTTAACCTTTCGGTTGAGCCTTTATATCATGTGATGTTCCTTCAGCAGAATTCATAACAGCAGCTTCTAAAAGATAATCTTTTTTTTTAAGATTTTATTTTTTTTCTTTGTTTATTTGAGAGAAAGAGAAAGCACAAGAGGGGATAGGATCAGAGGGAAAAGCAGACTCCCTGCCGAGCAGGGAGCCCGATGCGGGACTTAATCCCAGGACTCCGGGATCATGACCTGAGCGGAAGGCAGTTGCTTAACCAACTGAGCCACCCAGGCGCCCATAAAAGATAATCTTTTGTAAGCATTGGTGTCCAAGAAGTAAAATCTGTGCTCACTTATTGAACAAATGATGAGCTGCTAGAAGCAACAGAAGTTCATCAAATAAGCAACCATTAAAACCTGAAGGGGGTGTTTATTTCTTTAAAATTTCTGGTCATTTTTCTCTTCATCCCATCCATTGGACAGCATTCATTACATTGGCCATTAAATTGTACCATTTGGTGGAGCACTAGAGAAACAGAAGACTTTGGAAAGTCAAAGTCACAAGAAAATAAATCAGCCCCATCAACAGTACACCATAATAACCCCATTCAGAACATTCTGGTTTGAAGGCAGAGTCCAAAGAAATGACTGCATTTTGCTTCTGTGGAAACCAAAGCAGACAAATCAAGTATTTTGGTTGGATTTGAATGGAAATCAACTCAGACATGCATCAGATGGTTCTAATTTGCTCTTTTGATATGTCTCAGATTTTCATGTGAAGGCCAGATCCAGAAATAAATGTTTATCTGGATTCTGATGAATTGTGCTTAGAAGCCCAAGAGATGTTCAGCAATGAAAGGTTTTCACCAGAGTGTGGGCACTCCTGTAATTTTTTTCAGAATGGAATATGAAGTCAGGAAGCTAAAAGGCTTACAATTAATAAAGAAACCAATCCCATAAGGAGAAAAAGTAATATGTATATAAATTAATGATCGATCTTTCTGCAAAACCTTTTGACAACTTTTTAAAGATGTTGGAGTGTTTGGTCACTAAGTCAAATAATTGTGGCCTGATCTACTTTTCTGATTATAAAATCACTTATAGTAACTAAGTCTTCATGCCTTTCCTCTCCCATCCCCATTAATAAACAGAAAAGAATGAAGAAGAAGAACAAGAAGCAAAAATGGAACTTAAGCGCAGACTCAGCAGAAAGGTAATGAAACTATGACTGTTAATGAGCATGTGTGTTTTGAGATCTACTTCATTATTTAAATGCAAATCAGCTGTCTGCCTTTAAATCTAACATTGAGGAATACTTATTCCTATTAGCCAATAACCAATCATAGACATTTTAAAATCAATGTAATGTAGAGGATGAGTTATGTTTATATTTACAATTGCATGCTATGCTAATTTTGAAAAACTAACAATCAAGTTTTAAATTACATTTACTGATTATGAAAATAACATATAATCTATGTGAATTATTTTTAAGTGCAGAAAGGAACAAAAAAGAAAAAATCACACAAATGTCTTTTATTCAGAGATAACCATTATTAACATTTCAATATATAGTTTTTAAAAATGCTCACATTTTCTGTGCAGTCTTGGAAATATTCAGTAAATATGAAATTGGAGACCTGCCACTATTCCATGTGAGCTGGGTCAGTAATTTATTACATGAACTTGATCACCCAAGCTGCCTGCCACGGTGCTACCCACATTGACGAGTGCCTTACCTCCAAGACTCAGAGAGTTGTTTCCACCCATTCGTGAAAATATAAATCTGATACCTGGGCCATCACTCTTTTCTGGACATGTTAATAATAGTCTCAGGAAAAATTAAGCACTATCAGAGTTTATATTTCATGATATTTCATTATAAATCTGTATTCAGTAATTCTTCAGATATACCTTTCACACTTGGATAAGGCAGGATGAGTAAAATATGACATCTGCGGGGAAGTGTGTGACCTGACCCACATTTATCTGGGCTGGCTGGGGAGTCCACAGCCAAAGCATTCTAAGGCAGGGAGAAGAAACAATGTTCCCATGGAAAAGTTGGAGACTGTATTTTGAGAGTTTTTGGTTTTGATTTTTAGGGAAAAAGATCCTTAATTCATCTCTCTCTTTTTTTTTTTTTTTTTTCGAAGACCCTAAATGACAAGTAATTATCAAGCTGAAAAAGATTCTATAAACTGAATTGCTAGAGATGGCTCTTCTAACATTCAGTGGCTGTTAAGTTACCAGCTACAGATAAGCAGTAGCCCCTCCTCATTGTTTCAGGCTCACCCCTGCCATACATAATAATCTTTTCTCCATCCAGTTGAGCCCCTCCAGGGGGCAACAGAGCCCACCCTGACCCCTGACCCCCACTTGCCTCCACTCTACAGAGCTCTCTGCCAGAGGTGCGGGACGTTCCATAGCACGAATAGCACAGTCCTAAAGGGCAAGACGGGAGGAAGAATTTCTGACCCATGTGGTGTCTGGTCACTTGCCTTTTGGGCACTTCATAGAGGCCTTGGTTTCTCTACCTCCTTAGCCCCAGCTGCCCCAGAGAAGCAGTAAGAAGCTAGCAGTGGAGACTGGACAACAACTGAGAGTAGAAGAGAACCATTTAGATCATTCCTCCCTCTGTCCACTGCCTACCAGGGCTTTAGGAAGCTAGAAGGAGCTACGGTTGCCATACTCCAGCTCAAGTGAGCTCAGAGTGCAGACCCAGGCCTTCTAAGAGTCCTTGAAGGACCTGAGTATTGACCTAGTTCAGCCTCTGATTTTACTCAGCAGGAAACTGAGGCTCAGGAAAGGGGATTTTTTTTTTTCACCACAAAAACATCATTTTGTGTGTCCTAGTGCTTAATTTTTTTAAAAAAAAATTGAATCTGTGCAAATGAGGAACCCCTCTAAAGAGGACCACTTAGACAGTGGATGGTCCCGCTATATGCACAGTACAGATATGGGTAGAAAAGGTACTGGAAATGGACCCCATGGGTACAACAGAGGCCTGGGTCTATGACGTCTTCAGACCGAGAGAGGCCACAAAAGCATGAACCTCAGGAGAAGAGAGTAGATGATGCCTGTCAGCCAGGAGCCAGGACTCTTTAGTCTCTCAGAACCAAGAATCTCTTACTCCTGGGCTTTGGAAAGAAGAGCAAATACACGGGGCTGAGTGGATTAAATAGAACTATAAATTTGAATTTGACAAAGACCATAGGAGGAATCCAAGTTATTAGAAGTGTCTTAATCGTCTCAGCCTATTTTTTTTTTAAAGATTTTATTTATTTATTTGAGAGAGAGAGAGAATGAGAGAGAGCACATGAGAGGGGTTAGGGTCAGAGGGAGAAGCAGACTCCCTGCCGAGCAGGGAGCCCGATGCGGGACTTGACCCAGGAACTCCAGGATCATGACCTGAGCTGAAGGCAGTCGCTTAACCAACTGAGCCACCCAGGCGCCCGGTCTCAGCCTATTTTAAGCAGTTCTGGCGCACTGAATGTACTCTCCCGTGCCCCTGCTGATTTCTGCACAGCATCTTTTGCAAGCAAGGGTAATGTCAAATCTGGGCATGGGTCCCTAGTCTTTCACAGAAGACCGCTGTAAGCACACCCTTCACCAGACCGTTTCTTTGTCATAACTTTGTGCGTTTCTCAATATAAAGGTTTAATATAATAGGAACAGAGATCTCATTTCTAAAGTTAAGAGTGCTTTTGTCTGGATGCTTCAGTCTCCCAGCCAGCCAGCCTCTATCTGGATTGCTCTTGTGTCTGTGCTGCTTCGTGCTCCTTGTGTCGGAGGTGACAGGTGTCTTTATGACAGTGCCAGGCAAGGTGGGGAAAACAGCATAACGCAGATGGCTGCCAAAGCCTGTGACCTATCTAACAATGATGATTTTTATAGTCTCAGAATTAGGGCACACTGCTTTCTGGTTCTCATTAGAAACTCCCAAGATGCTGCTACCGTTTTTTTTCTTTTGGATATCTGAAAGTGACCTTATTTAACCATAACTTTGAAGTTCTCTATAGAAGACTCGCCACCATGAGACTGTAAATGGTTTCCTGAACTTGTCCTTTTTTTCCCCTATCCCCCTGCAGCTCAGTCTGAGACCCACAGTGGCGGAGTTACAAGCTCGAAGGATCCTGCGGTTTAATGAGTATGTAGAAGTCACCGATTCTCCCGACTACGACCGCCGGGCAGACAAGCCCTGGGCCAGGTTAACACCTGCAGACAAGGCAAGAGCCCTCATGGTTTTAGCCATGATTTTATTTGTTTATGATTTTATTGCTTTTCTCAAAGCTTCAGTATCCACTCACCACCACCCCCACACACACACATTCAGTTATCCTAGGAGGCCAGATAGTACCAGATAGCTCAACAATTTTCTGCCTTTTCTTATTTAAGCCACTTAAGTGATATATTTAGTAATATCAATGAGGTTCTTTCAGCTAAGTCTCAGAAAAATTCTTTCTTAGTTACCGTGTAACCTGCCTGCATTCATACCTGGATTGAGGGTGGGGTGGTCCCACAGCCGTGATTTATCCTTACCCTTAGAAAATATAATTTATACAAGTTATCATTTTAAAGGGATATGTTAAGGGGTGCCTGGCTGGCTCAGTTGGTAGAACATTCGACTCTTGATCTCAGGGTCATGAGTTCAAGCCCCATGTTGGGCATGGAGCCTACTTAAAATAAAAATTTTTTTAAATAATAAATAAAATAAAAGGATATGTTAACAGTGTAAAAGGTATTGATCTATATCAAGGCCAGCACACTTTTTCTATAAATGGCCAGAGTAAATATTTTAGGCCTTGTGGTCCGTACAGTCTTTGTTGCAACAGCTCAGCTCTGCCATTAAGAGTATGAAAACAGCCATAGGCAGTATGTAAGTGAATGGATGGATATGTGTTCCAATACAACTTTATTTACAAAAACAGATGGTGGGCCAGATTTGCCCTGTGGGCCATGGTTTACCAACCCCTAATCTATATCATAGCTCACAGTTCAGAAAAACTGAAATGTATAATGGGTCACATCATGGAGAAAGACAATTTTATGAATAATATGGTTCCAAAGCCAAAGAATTTTGCCAACCTTTTGTTTTCAGAGTCTTCACTTTATGATTTTCCTAATATCCCAAATAATGATTTCTTTTTTTCTTTCTTTTTTTTCCAAATAATGATTTCTAAATTTTGTCTCTATGCAAAATTTGGTATCGAATAAACTCATGCCACATCCAGTCTTTTTTTTTTTTAAAGATTTTATTTATTTATTTGACAGAGAGAGAGTGAGAGCACAAGCTGGGAGACAGAGGGAGAGGGAGAAGCAGGCTCCCCGCCAAGCAGGGAGCCCGATGCGGGACCTGATCCCAGGACCCTGGGATCATGACCCGAGCCTAAGGCAGCCACCCAACCGACTGAGCCACCCAGGCGCCCCGCCACATCCAGTCTGAATGGTAGAGCTAGGAATTTAATTACATGCTATGCATTTTAGTAGAGATTTCACACTGTAAAGCACCTACTGCATGTCAAGCATATAGTGGAGCTACAGATCAGAAATCATTTGCTCAGGGCTCTTGGGTGGCTCAAAGGTTAAGCGTCCGACTCTTGATTTTGGCTCAGGTGGTGATCTTGGTGTTGTGAGATTGAGCCCTGTGTCTGGCTCTGTGCTCAGCAGGGAGTCTGCTTGAGATTCTCTCTCCCTCTCTCTCAAATTAAATAAATAAATAAATAAATAAATAAATAAATAAATAAATAAATAAATAAATAAATATCATTTGCTCTTAGGAAGAAATGAAAACTAGGGAAGAAGAAATGAAAACTGGGGAGAAAAAAGATCATAAAGGAAGGATATTTGGAATGAGAATGGAGGGAAGGAGGCTGGGAATAGCACCCAAGGGACCCAACATTGACGAAAAGGTGGTAGAACACAGAGAAGAAATGTCTGTGAGGTGGGGAAAGAGGAGAAGATGTAGCCCAACAGCTAGGAAGAAGAAGGTCAGGTCACAAAAGGGGGCATTTTAGGAGTCTGGTGGGTGGAAGCCTGACTAGTGGAGACAAGGAGAATAAAATACAACCTCAAGAGTCTTGGCTGTGATGGAGAAGTGATAGGAGGAGGAAGTCACATGAGGGGTGATGACTGTGGAGGCTGCAAGCTTCTATATGCATAAGAAATAACCTGAACAATCTTTTATGCCACGAAGAAGGAGCCAAAAGAAAGGGAAAGTTTGAATCTATATTAGAAGAGGTCGGTAACTGATACAGTAGGGCATAATCAATGGAGCAGCAGGAGAACGTGTGTATGTAGAAAAGGCGAGGCAGAGACCCTTGAGGTTGGGATGAGGGCACAGGCTGAGGTATGTGCCCTGACGGAGGAGGCTTCCCAAGGCAGTTAAAATCACTCAGGTTGAGGGTAGCCTCCAGGGGATGAAGAAGACCAAAACTCGGGTCATGTGTCAAGCTCACCACCAATCAGTGCCTCCCACTTAATTCTGAGTGGTTTCCACTGCTTTATCTGCCTTCCATCCTGCACTTTCTCCTCACTGTTCAGCAGCAATAGACTGCACTTATGACCTCGTGTGGTATCTGATGCCCACAAAGAAACACGAGGCTTTAGGTCAGATGCAGTCTTTAGAGTGAGTGTTAACAATGGATAACATTTCTTTCTCAACCCTAACTCTATCTCAGGTCTTACACATTCTTCTGGCATTTTATTTTTTCAGTTGTGAATTATATCACGTGATAGAGAATATAGGAAACAAATGTACCATTTAAATAATAAAAAGAAGACACCTGTTTTATTAATCCCTGAGTATTACTGGTACCTGAACAGGGCCCTGTGGGCTCCTCCCCAATTGCTTTTCCCTCCCTTCCATAACCACGACTTTTGTGTTAATCATTCCCTTTCTTTTCAAGAGTTTAACCACCTTATATATACCCCTAAACAATATGTATGTATTTCTTGGTTTTGCCAGTTTTGGAATCTTAGGGATTGGAATCATACAAAGTTCTTCTGGGTGTTACATCATTCAAGTAACAAAAGAATCTGGGTTGATGGACTAGGTGATAGTGACTCTTTTTCACTGGAATATAATACTTCGTTGTATGTTTAAGTCACAAAGTAATTATCCATTCAATCGTTAATTATTTAGTTGGTTTCCAGATTTTAGGTGTGCAAGCTCTATTCTATGAAGATTCCTGTATCATCTTCAAGTTCACTGATCCAAGACTTTTTCTAACATATTCCTTGTGATGGAATTGCTGGGTCCTGGAATGTAGAGATATTCAGCGAAACTAGGCAGCGTCAACAGTCTTCCAAAATGATCGTTTCTGGCTTACCTTTCCACAGCCAAGGTTACCGGTAGTCCAATATTCTTGCCAACATGTAATGGTCAGTCTTTTTGTTTTGTTTTTTTATTTGACAACCTAGTGGTTATGAAATAACATTTCATTGTACTTACACTTTGCCTCTCATTAATTATTAATGAGGTTGAGCATATTTTCATACCTATTGGGCATTCAGGTTCCACTTCTGTGCCTGTCTTTCATCTGTTTTCTTTTGGGTTGTCAATTTCTTGTTGATTCATAGGAATTCTTCATATATCCTAATAATATATTGCAAGATATATATATATCTCCCAATTTATGACATTTCATTCTCTTTATATGGTTATCTTTTGACATAAGAGATTTTTTAAATTTAATGTGAATTTATCCACCTTTTCTTTGTGGCTTGTGATTTCTTTGAAAAAATTCTTCCCATACCAAAATCATAAATGTATTCTGCTGTACTTTTTGTTTTTGTTTTTTTTTTCAAGATTTTATTTATTTATTTGACAGGGAGAGACACAGCAAGAGAAGGAACACAAGCGGGGGGAGTGGGGGAGGGAGAAGCAGACTCCTGGCTGAGCAGAGAGCTGATGCAGGGCTGGATCCCAGGACCCTGAGATCATAACCTGAGCCAAAGGGAGATGCTTAGCAAGTGAGCCACCCAGGCACTCCAGCTGCTATACTGTTCTAAAACATTTATAATTTTGCTTTTCACATTTAAGTTGTTAATTTACCTAGAACTGATGTTTTTAGAAGATATAAGGATCCTGGGATTGAGCCCTGCATCAGGCTCCCTGCTCAGCAGGGAGTCAGATTCTCCCTCTCCCTCTGCCCTCCCCACTCCACTCTCTCTCAAATGAATAAATAAAATCTTAAAAAAAAATAAATCATTAACCTTCTTCCTTTCTTATTTTCTGATACAACCACTGAAAGCTATGAATGATGCTGTATGTCAGTGGTTCCCAACCTTAACTGCAAGTTGCTCTCATGGGGCAGGGTGGGGGTGCTTTAAGAACGGTAACACCTGGGTCTGGGTCCCACCCCTAAAGATCTTGATTTAATTGGACTGTGGTGTGACTTTAAATATTGGGATTTTAAAAGTATGTGGTCAGTAATGATAAATGTCCCATATATCCTTGAAAACAGTGTACGTTCTAGTTCTGGGGTATGGAATTTTAAATATGTCTGAAACTTAAGCTTGTGAGTCTCATTTCTGTATCCTTCCCTTTTTTTCTTTTTGTTTTTTTTTTTTTGGTCTGTTTGGTCCCATACCAAGAGAGGGATATGTTACCTCTCCCACTACATATATGGATCTTTCCTTCTATTTATAATTCTGTTTTGCTTTCTATATTCTGAGATTGTGTCAATAGATGTATATAAGTTTAGGATAATTATATTTTCCTGATGAAGCATTTATTATGAGACTATTCAAGAAATGCTTTCTGTCATAAAGACTGTTTTATTTAATATTATTTTAATATAAAGGTGAGTTATTTTGGACCACCTTAGTGCTATGAATTCAGGCTGTAAACCCATGTGAGGGCTACTTACCGATTCATGTCCTCAGGGTAGATTTAATGCTGCCTCACCTGCTAAGCACCAGCATGACCTCATCTGTGCTGTCCTCTGGGGATCAGACATTCTAGCGCACCCTTCACTGAGGCTGTGCTGTAAGAGCTCCTTCCTGAGGCGGGAGGGTCATTCATTAGACTTTCTACCTTGGACAGGTTTCTTCACTGGTCTTCAGTATCTCACCAAGCTATGAAAATGACCGCTCACAGTCACTGCATTTAACATCACAAATGCCCTCAAGGTCAAGGCCAATTTCAGTGCTCAGCTTACTTCATTTCTCTGGGCTTCATCTTCATTTATTCTTTTATGTCAAAGTATTTTTTACTTTCTTACTG